TCGTGCGTGCGTGTGTACGTACACGTGCGTTCGTGCGTGCGTGTGTACGTACACGTGCGTTCGTGCGTGCGTGTGTACGTACACGTGCGTTCGCGCGTGCGTGCGTGTGTACGTACACGTGCGTTCGTGCGTGCGTGTGTACGTACACGTGCGTTCGCGCGTGCGTGCGTGTGTACGTACACGTGCGTTCGTGCGTGCGTGTGTACGTACACGTGCGTTCGTGCGTGCGTGCGTGTGTACGTACACGTGCGTTCGTGCGTGTGTACGTACACGTGCGTGCGTGTGCACTTACACGTGCGTACATGCGTGCGTGCGTGTGCACGTACACGTGCGTGCGTGTGAACGTACACGTGCGTGCCTGCGTACGTTCACCTGCGTGCATGCGTGCGTGGGTACGTGCCTGCGTGCATGCGTGCGTGCGTACGTGCCTGCGTGTGTGTGCAGGTAAACGTTCGTGCGTGCGTGCGTGCGTGTGTGCGTGTGCAGGTACACGTGTGTGCGTGTGCAGGTACACGTGTGTCCATGTGTGCGTGCGTGCGTGTGTGTGCAGGTACACGTGCGTGCATGCATGTGCACGTAGACGTGCGTGCGTGCGTGTGCACGTACACGTGCGTGCATGAGTGTGTGCGTGCGTGCTTCGCTATTACATGACATGACATACTACACATGAAACATCGCTAGCTATTACGTCAGTATCATTGAACAACTCTGATTGGCTGATGAATTGTACAATCGGGCGACTAAATCGCCGAGCCAGACACACTAGGCGATTTTATCGGGCGACTGAAATAATCACCCGATAATATCAAAACGTTTTGATCTATGCGATTAAATCGGGCGACTAAATCGGGCGACTAAATCGGCGGCGACTGGCTGGACACACTAGGCGATTTCACCGGCGATTTAGCGCACGCACACCTGATTTAATCGCCTAGTGTCCGGCCCTTTACTAGTTTTTTATTACTATGTTAATTCTCGCTGCTACTCTGCTGCCTCCCGGTAATTTGTGCATTTGCGAGCAAAGAGAGGGAGAGAAGGGTAGAGGGGGAAGGTTTTCGAGAAATCCTAAGCGGGGTTAGACTTAGAAGTTAGAGTATGTGTTACGTGAAAACGTATAGCACCCATCACATCTTTGATAACACGATTTTTACAAACGATTTACCACCAAATAAGGAGTACATTAGTGAATTAAATTTTTAGCTCTTCAAAAAATATAACTTAAAAAATAACTTGAAAATTTAACTTATAAGTACCAAATTTGGTAAATCACAAATGTTTAATTCGATTGTTATAGTATTGCATTGCACAACGTATTATAACGGCCTGGGAACATCATGTCAGATGCATACCGTCAAGAGCTAATAATACTTATTATAACTACACTAATAATAGCACGGCACTTGATATCGTTCTTCTGTATCGTATCGCTCTTGATAGTACAATAATAGTACAGAGACTCCCCGACTTACGAACATTCGAGTTACGAACTTTCGATGATGTTCACATATGTTCACCCTGTGTTCACGTATATATATGTTTACACTATGTACACTTCTAGGTTACTCGATGTTCACACGTACATATACTATACTACTGTACAATACTGTATACGCACGTACATATGTTCGACTTACGAACAAATTGACTTAGGAACGACCGCTCGTAACCGAACCTGTTCGTAAGTCGGTAGTCTCTGTATTAGCTCTTGATATCGTGCATACTCAGCCCCCCCCCCCCCCCACACACACACACACACACACATACACACACCCACTGTGCTATACCCACTGCAACACGATGCACCTGATACAGCAGTTTTCTTGATTGATGTTGGTTTAATTGATATTGATTGATCTATCTTCAGGTAAAATTACCTGGCTGTGCACCAGGGATTAAATTTTTTATCAGTTAATTATTAATTAACATGCATTACAATGCAAGTAGTGATGTAAATAGTATGTAATAAAGGTAGTATATAGTTATTAATGTACACAATTTTAATATCAAAGATATTTTATACATAAACGCTATGTAGGAAATGGATACGGGTATATTTACAATTTTACATTGATGCTCATATCAAACTTCTAAAGTATACAAAATACTGAGACTTTAACGGTGTAATTAGTAGCACGTATTCATTTGAAACAGAACGATATCTACCAGTGAAAAGAATGTTAAAACTCGCTAATACAATTTCACCATGATCATCACGCCATAGCCCAAACACTGCCGGGGTTTAAACTCCTGAGATATGAGCAATGCCCAACACTGCTAACACATTGCAATCTTAAAGGGGGGCTTATGTCAGGCTTGCGAGCCGACTCGACTGGAAGCAACTGGATTTCGAGCAACTGGAAGCGATCGGCAGCGACTAGTTGCGTCCAGTTGCCCACTGTTCTACTAGTGGCGGCCAGTCGCAGGCATAAGCAGTCGCGTCGCAGTCGACCGACCCAAGCACTGCGGTCGAAGTGAATTGCAGCCAGTTGCTTCCAGTCGAGTCGGCTCGCAAGCCCGACTTAAGCCCGACATAAGCAAGACGATAAAACCCACGGGGATAAAATGCGATTATATTTTTGAAATAAACCTCCCTTTTCATGCTTGTTCTTGTCTCTGATCTTCCATTCCGTAACAAGTTCAATTTCACCACTTAATTCCCGATTCCCAAATCTCTCTCATCTCAATTCTACCATCGAAAGACAAACTAGAAACGCGCACACGGCTACACAACGGGTTGCAGAATCGGCACGCCGACCAACTAGCGCTTCACACACGCATTTGCTCAGTTCTCACTCGTGTCCATGTTCTCCGTGGGAGCGTATAAGAGCGGCACTACTATCATGTCGCTGACCTCAATCCCGCACTCGGTCGTCGGGCCACCCTCCAGCACAGCTTTCGTGAGCGAGGGATCCGACAATGAAGACTCCGCGTCGCCGTCGCAGGGAGACGAAGCGTTCTTCAGCGACCTCACGTCCGTCACGACGAGACCCAGACTCGAGTCGACCACCTCGTGGCGCCACGACGCATCGCCGCCCGCCGCTGGCCACTCCTCCTCGCCAGGGGGAGCCTCTCCTCCGCCGCCGCCGCCGACTGACAGCGCAGTCACCTTTCCCGTTCCGTTCGATGACGCGGCGTCGGCACGCGGCGAGGGAAGGCCGCCAGGCGGACGCGCGTCAGGGGACGACGATGGAAGGACGCCACCGTTAGAGAACGACAGTGGGAGGGCGCCGCTGTCGGTGGACGATGATTGAAGGGCGCCACTGATAGAGGAGGAGAGAGCGAGCGAGATGCCATCAGGGAACGACAGGGAGAGGGCGCCACCATCGGAGGAGAGCCTCGGCGGGACGGCGAGGGACGGGGCGACGGCGTCGTCGCCGCTGCACGCGAACAGGTCGTCGCTGGGGTCGCGCGTCGTCTCGCCCGACGACGACGGCTCGCCGCCGCCCGTCGCGTCCGGCCGCCTCGGAGGGACCCGGCCCGCTCCCCGCGACCCCACGTCTGCGACCTCTCCGCTCGTCCGCACGCACGCACCGCCGGTCCCCGCAGCGGCAGCGCTTCCCGCGGAGCCGCCGGAAGACCCGGCGGTCGACGAACTGACCCCTTCGCTCTCCGACGGGTCCATGCCGCAGAGGCTGGTGAGACGCGAGACGGAGGCGGCATCGCCGACGCTCTCGCCCCGCGCCGGCTCCGCGGCGGACTCTCCGTTGTCGGCTCCCTTCGAGTCGGATGAAAACCGACGCGGCCGAGGATGCGTTGTCGATCGGGTTGCGCCGCTGCCGCTGGGGGACGCGCCACTGCGGGGGGACGCGCCTCCGCGCCGTCTCGCAATGCCGAAGTCGCTCGTCGTGATATCCTCGTCGCCATGTTCGGTCGAGCGCCGCGAGGGTTCGCCGTCGATCCGATCCCCGCGCGAATCGGACGCGGACGCTCCGACGACGAAACCCGTGCTACGCTGCGAACCCGACCCCTCGCTTCCGTCGCAGCCGCTTGCTGACGGCGTGGAGTCAGTACGGCTAGACGACAGACCCGACGCTCGTTCCTGCATCTCGAGCGGCGTGTAGCTACGGCAACCGCGCGCCGGCGACGAGGCGACAAAACCGCCCACGCCGATCTCCCCGCTCGAGTCTGCTGCCGCGGCAACCCCGCCGCTGCTGCCGGAGGAGGAGGAGGTGGAGGAGAGGTAGGTTTCCATGGCGTCGCGCGTCAGCGGGCGGCCGCTCGGCGGGATGCGGGCGCTGTCGTCGGCCGCCGATCGCGCGCCGGAAGATCCCGTTCCGCCTTGCTCCGCGGGACGCGTCGCGGAGGGAGCGACGCCGCTCCGCCCGACGATGCAGTCCCAAGGTTTCGAAGGCGACGCGATCGGTCGGAAGGACGGGCGATCGGCACCGTGCGTGCGGTCCTGTGTGGCGTCTGCCGCGTCGTCCCAAAGAATCTCGGTGTCGCGATTTCGCTGGCCTGTCGCCGATTCATCGCCCCCGACCGGGACGCCAGCATTCTCAGTGCCGCTTGCAACTGCAGTGCAAATCGTTGGGCGTCTACGGCCGACGGAAAGATTGAGTGGAATGGGACTGTGCCAACCGCGAAGAGTGAACGTGTACTTCGGCTGCGTGCATGTGCCGAGGACGTCGTCATGCTCGCTTGTTTCCATTGGCGACGGTTGTGCTTCTCCGAGCATTTCTCCCCGTGCAGGGCTAGCCAGTGCAACAGATTGGATAGAGTTACGCTCGCTCATGGTGTGGCATCTTAAATTACTTTCCGTATCACGTGTCAGCAGCATAAACGTCATTACACATTGCCAGCTTTTTGCACAGTAGAATTTTCTCAGTCAAGGAATCGGAAGTTGTTCCGTGGTCCTGGCATGTCTCGTACCTTGAAATGAAAATAGTAATAAATAATTACCACTTATATTTAAAACTGAGGCATCAATGTTCATGTACTCCATATTAACTAATAATCTTTGTGCTCAAATATTTCTTTACAATAGAGAATCTCACTACACATGTTAAGCTAGAGTACAGAAATACAACAGGTTCATGTGTATCCTTAGATACAATAATGTAACCCAAACACATGGGCAAGCGCGTAGCCGGGGGGGGGGGGGGGTCCTGGGGGCCCTAGGACCCCCCAACCAAAATCAAAATCCAAATAAAAAATTTTGGATCCAAAAAAAATATTTCAGACCACCAGACCTCCCTTGTTACTCGCTCGAGGACCCCCCCCCCATCCAAATTCCTGGCTACGCCCTTGCACAGGGGTAGGGGTACACACCTATGTAACACCCCTACCCCTGTGTTTGGGTTACATTATTGTATCTAGTAGGCCTAGTGTATCCTGTGAGTGTGCATGGAGTTTTATGCATTGGGCGCAAACACACCTATTTATTGTGGGGGTTCTATTTATTGTATCTACTGTTGTCCCACTAGTTGAGCTACATTACTATACTATACTCTATAGGGCCTAGTGCATTACCCTAACCTGTTGGGTTAGTTTATTAATTGTTTGTATAATCATAACGTAGACTATAGTACTAGTAGTAGTAGTAGTAGTAGTAGTAGTACTGTAGTAGTACTAGTACTAGGAAGTCGTAGTAGTCTAGTACTTCCTACTACTACTACTACCAGGAGTAAGATAATATAGATCTATATTATCTTACTCCTGCTACTACTAGTACTACTACTAGTACTAGTACTACTACTAGGACTAGGAGTATCCGAGTAGGACAACACAGTTAACACTAACCCGACCAGGCTGTGTGACTAACGTCAATATACACAGGTATTCTAACCCCAGCAGTAGCAATACCGTTTCTTGGAGCTAAGTCAACACCAGTCAAAATCAGTAAACACCGACTGCCTCAGAATCAGACTCACTCACTGTCTCAGTGTCTGTCTGTCGACAATATTATTACTATTACTGAAGAGTGAAGTGTGTGTGGGGTTTTAGTCAGATGCGATTACATGTAGCACATCGCTATAACAATATCCCATACATAACCTTTGGTTACATACTTCAACACAATAGTCAATAGTTTGCCAGGAAACGAAAGTTAGAAAGAAATCATCTTCAAACATTTACACACGAAGCGCCACAGACGTGAGACGTTCTTTCGTTTCGCTAGGGGGCCTATTTCAAAACAAATGAACGCTTTGTTGTCATCGTGCAAGTGTTTGCAGTAGTTGACTTTGTATCATACAGACATACTCATACATACTCATAGTTTATGTGCTTATGTGTATATGTGTTTTATACATCACTTTGACCATATTTACATCTTATATATATATATATATAGCTTCCATGATCTGCAATGGCATCGGTCACTAAGAACACCACCCCACTACGCAATATTAAAGCAAACCAAATGAAGCATTACGAGCCGTACTGGACCACAGAAGCTATTTCGCACGGGATCAAAAGGGACGAGCTCATAACAGGTGCTCTGAGAATCAATCCAAAGAACTATGAAGAGGCTTACATCACGTCGCCCACCGGCGGCAGCGACATCGCGATCCTGGGAATGCGGGACCGCAACCGCGCGCTTAACGGAGACGTCGTCGCCCTGCAGCTCAAGCCGCGCTCCGAGTGGAGAGTCGCGTCGACCGGCGAGGGGAAGCGGCCGCCGCAGGACTGCGATCGCGCGACGGCGGCCGCCTCCGCCGCCGTGCCTGACCTCTCGTCGCTGTCTGTCCGTGGCTCCCGACCCCTGACGAACCCCGACGGGAGCGCGGCGCCCTCTGGTGATGACAACGACGACAGGTCCGCGCAGAGGGTCGGCCGCGTCGTGGGCATCGTCGAGCGCAAGCACTCGCGCGCCGCCTCCGGCTTCCTGAAGCCGATGCCGGGCGGGAAGAAGGACCTCGCTCTGTTTGCTCCCGTCGACAGCCGCGTTCCCCGCATCGTCGTGCCGATGGCCGCGTGTCCGGAGGACCTGCTCGTGCGCCCCGGCGACTACGCCAACACCCTGTTCATAGCGAGGATCACAGAGTGGGGGGAGAGCTCAAAGATGCCAAAGGGGAACCTTCAGGTATCCTCCTGTGTGGATCGATTTTTGTTTAGGACCCCTGTCAATATATAGAGTTCATCGTACATCAGCACCCTAACCCTAACTTTAACTTTGAGCTATATAACTCTAACCCTAACCCTAAACCTAACCCTAACCCTGAGTCTAACTCTAATCCTACAGCTAACCCTAACCCTACTCCTAACCCTTACCCTTACCCTAACCCTATCACTTACTCGAAAATGGAATCTTAGGCCCAGCTGGGCCTGCAAACAGTCATAAATGCCATAGAGTTCTGAGATGTTTCGTAAAACCCCCCCGTCATTAGGTTACGGGTTTTGTCGAGTGCAGCTCACGTGAGCGTCGTAATTAATCCGTATATTTCAGAGAAGTCTGGGAGAGGCGGGCGAGATCGAACCAGAGACGGAGGCACTGCTCTTGGAATACGAGATCTACTCCGGCGACTTCACCGACAAAGAACTCGCCTGCTTGCCGGAAGTGAATGCGGAAAAATGGGAAATACCGCAGGTACGAGACGCATGACATTTAACAGGTTGCGGGCGCTTGACAGAGCATTTGCTGAAAAAAGGGCAGAGCTAAACGGAAAGAATGTGATTCAGTAGTAGGAGAAAGCACTAGCTCCCACCGTGCGCGCGTGTTCCGTACACACAATTACCACGTAGAATAGCGCAACACTCGTGGCGCGCAAGTATTAAATTAAATTAAATTAAGTTTACTTTATTTACACTTATGAATTACATTTTGAAGGTAATATATTAGTTAAGCAAGTTAAATTGACTACGTCACGAATTTTCTATGGTAAATTTTGTAAAATTTTTGTTGCCATTTTTTTACATTGAAAGTAAGAACTAACGGGACTAAACATATCGTCAAATTCTTACCTGATAAGATTGTTTCTCAACTAGTTAAAAATCCAAAAAACCTGGACGATTTGATATTATGTTCCTGACATTAATTGCTTGCTATGGGCTATGTATGAGTCACGAGTGTATGTTCACATCGAACAATAATATAGTAAAATATAGAAGTATAAT